GGTGAGAGAGAGCATAGGGAAAGCAAGCAAGAAAACATGGGGAAAGGAGAACAAAAATTACTCAAGGGATAAATGGAGAAAATAAAAAGGAGAGAGACAAAATCAAATAAAGTTTCTTGAAAAGAAAAAAGAGCTGTAGGACTAGGGGTACAGCTGAGATGAAACAAACATTGTAAAAAAAATTAAACAGAAATATTAGAGTAAGGGGAAATCAGACCCTGAAAAAGATAGAGGAGAAAATACACCGAGATGTTCAAGGGAAAGAAAAAATGGAAGGACAGAAGAAAACGAAAACAAAGATCAAACAAACTGTTGTTACTTATGTAAATGGTGATGGCAAGAGGTCATGATAAATACATGACACTGGTACAATACATACACATCTTATAATACACCCTTGTGCTGATTTGATTTTGTGCTTCCATCCTAGTATTTCCCCAATAATACCTCCCTCCCTTCAAATCCACCCCTTCCACTTCTCCCCAACACATACAGACATAAATAAATCAGTCTCTGCCGTCAAACCCACCCACACCAATTCGTCCCCTCAAACCACGCGCATTCTTTTGCTGATCTGGTTACTGGCCTGACTGTTGCTTATGGCAAAACCTGGCCAAGTTCCAAGATCTTGGCTTCCCTTAAACAGAAGATTCACTCCAGATTGTGATTTCAGGTTCAGCCACTGTAGCAGTAAAGCATGTTTTTCCCTGAGACTGAAAATTCCAGGAGCAGACTCAGAATCAGTCTGGAGTATACACAAACCTGTTCCTATGGGAACAAGACAACAGGTCACCTTGGCAACAGAGGCGGGGTTCTAGAAGAGGCACATGGCTGAAGAATAAGACTTTAGTCAGTGCTTTCCCTTCCAGTACATGAGCATCTATCTATCTTGCAAAGACTTAAATCACTTATATTTATTCTTACAATTAATTATGTTAGGGTGCCTAACACCTAGGATAAACAGCTTTATTATTTTAAATCTAGTTAATTAACTAAATGAATTATCATCTACCTTGTATTGAAACCTAGTTACAAGAGCTTTAAATGACTGTCTAAATTGTTACCAATTAAATACTTCGAACAATATTTTGTTTTTAAACAGGCAGTTATATTTTTTTTCTTTTGGGGGACAAAAGGAGAACAAAGGGCCAGAGAAAAGAGGGAGATGAACTGAAAAAGGGATTACTCCAGATACTATGGAGATCAGTGCTCTGTAAATACCAGATAGCTATCAATTACTGGAAAGAAGGATCTGGTATTGAAGAAATGGAAAGAAGGGAGAAGATAGGACAGGAAAGAGAGATGCGGCACTTGGAAGGAGAAAGATGGAGCTGAGTGTGTCAAAAACTGGAAAAATATGTCTCAGCATCCTGAAAGTTGGACTGTACACACACATCTAACTACGTATGTCCCAGATTGTAAAGTCCACCCCAAAATATTTTGGTGTAACCCAGTAGCATCCTATTATCTTTCTTTTAGTTCTGGAACATTTGCTCTGATGTAGCAGCGCCTACACCTGCTCCTCAGAGGTAAGGGCACTCAGTACTGTGCAGGATTACACCCTGATTTCTTTTCTAGTATGTGAAGCCAGCAAGAATGGGTAAATCTCTTTACCTGAAATAAGAATGCTGCATTTTTCTTGTAGCCTTCATCCTTATACTGTGTTAGTGCCATCAACTGGAGCAGGGAAGCAGAAAGCTTTGAATTCAAGTCCAACAGGAAATACTCTCAAAATATGTTATTGTAAAACAGTTACACAAATCTTGTTCATTGATTTATGTATCTAAAACTGTCTCTTTATTTTTAAAGCATCACAGTGAGCCCTTAAGGAAATGAGGGATGTTAGCGAGTTAAAAGCCAGTTCCCCCCAGCACCGTCTCCACAGTGCTCTATCAGAGGCAGCGGTGGGGGAGAAATAGGAGAGGGTGCTGCGAAGAAGTCTCTGCCTCCAGTGGGCTGAGGTTCGCCATGGGAAGAGGCTGCTCCAGCAGCAGCCCTTGTCCATGGAGATCCCAGCAGGGAGCTAGGCTCCTCTGACAGACAGGGGTGCTGCTTCTAAGCAGCCCCTGTTTGTAGCAGACAGGGCTGGCCACTGCAAACGGGCTGCTGGACTCAGGAAGAGCCTGGACCAAGCAGTCCTGGCTCGTGCTGGTCTGGGACGCTGCTCAGCGGAGAGGTTCTGCAAAGCAGTCCTTATCAACTAATCTGTAGCCAATACAAATTGTATTGACTACATGATTACCCAGATAACCGCAATTTAACATCCTTAGAAGAAACATTGTTACATAATTTTATCCCTTAAGTAAGATTATGGTTAATACACGTTTAGTTAAATTTACTGTGGATGGAGAGAATTTTTAAAAGTTAAAATCAGAATAATTTTGTTCTTAAGTAAAACAACGTTTAAGCATCTCATGCTAATCCAAGAGAACCAGAAAAAGAAACTGAGCAAGGGAGGTACAGCCGTGCTGGAAGAGTTGCCCAGGAGATGGAGGAGATGCCCAGGGTGGGCACTGGCTTCTACATACTCTGATTTGAAGCCACTGCAGCCTCTGGTAAATCCCTGCAGTTCAGCAGATATCTTCTTCATATCTGCAGACTAGATATGAATTTTGTATCTGCACACCACTCAGGAGGTCATCTAATCCATCTCCTCATACTGAGGCTGCATTGCCTGTACCTCATCGTGCCTGACTAGAGTTTGTCTAATTCAGTGGTTTTCAAATTGTGGGTTGGGAAGCAACACAGTTTTCCAGGTGATTAATCAGCCCTGCCCAGTCAGAGGCTCAAGGACCTATGCATGAAGCTGACTGACTGGGCAGGGCTGATTAATCACCTGAGAAGGTGTGCTGCCAGAGGGAACACTGGTCCAGACTCCAGTGCATTGGGTCTGCTTTTTAATGCTGCCAAGGCCAGCATTAGACCAGGAACAGTGATGCTCAGGATAGTGGGGCTTGGGTTCTGCTGCCCATTCCAGGATCATGTAGTAACTTCCCTGTTGACAGAAGGGGCCTGTGGTGCAAGGAAGTTTGAGAACTGCCTAGTCTTGCCTGTTCTTAAAATTGCCAAGGACTGGGGAATTCCGCATCCCAGGATTTACCTGGCTTGATTATTAGCCTTTCCCTCCATCTAACCTAGATCTCCCTTGCTGCACATTAAGCCCATTGTTTATGAGGCATTAATGTAGTGTACACACGGGACCTTCTCAAGGAGGAAAACTCCTCACCAGCTCTGCCCTTTGCTCCTCCCCTGAGCAACCATGCCCTGGGAAATACAGGGGTACTGGTGCAGCGGTCCTCTCCACCCGCATCCATGACTGTGTCTAGACTGGCCAGTTTTTCCAGAAAATCAGCCTCTTTTCCGTTAAAAGCATTTCCGGAAAATCATGCCAATCTAGGCGCAGCCCATGGGTGGCTGTAGCTGAAGCAGCCCTGTCCCCTGCTCCCTCCCACTGTGCCTCATTTCCCTATGGCAGGTGGAAGCAAAGCTCCTGGGTCTGAAGCTCTCTGCTTCCTGTCACCACTGAGAGCAGAGACCTGGGAAGTGGTGGGACAAGGTTGCTAGGCAGCTCTGGCTCCTGCTACTATATTGTGAGGGCAGCCCCTGCCACCAACCGTGTAAGAGAGGGGTAGGGAACCTCCTTTGGGTTGGGTGCCATTGACCCACAGAAAAAAATCAGTCAGGGGCTCCACCCATCTGGGAAGCAAAAAAACCCCAAACAGATCCTCCCTGACTGTCCCTAGACTGAGAAGCACAAAGCCACTCCCCACATATTTCCCCTCTCTCTCTCACACACACACCCCCACACACCTCCTCCCCCCCAACCCTAGGGAGGCCCTTTTGCTCACCCCTGCCCTAGGGAGGCCCAGCCTAGTAGATTTCTGTGCTCCAGCCTCTGGTGGGGCAGCAGAGGGGTTGAAGTGGGGCTCCCCCATGCTTGGGGAGGGGAGCTTCAGGAGTCAGACCCAGGGGAGCCAGAGGCCATATGCACCCCCAGGCCTTAGGTTCCCCACCCTGTGTAATCCCCCAGGCCCTCCCGTCTATAGGCTGCTGGGGGGCGGTGCCCCCCAG